CCAAGGGAATAGGGGAGGGAGTGGGGTGGGAAAGCGCCCGGCGCGCTCCCGGATCCGCTCCGGCTTCCCGGGATGCGGCCGCGCTAACGGGATCTCTCTGCTTCCCGCAGTTGACATGGACGATGAGGATGGCCGGTGCTTGCTGGACGTGATCTGGTGAGTGGAGGGAATTCCCGGGAATCCCGGAAAACCGGGATTTGTCCCTGCTCCGCTTGGGGGGACCCCAAGGGACATCCCGCCGCGTTCCCGCATTCCCTAACCCATTCCATGTGTTTTTGCAGTGACCCCCAGGCCCTGAACGACTTCCTCCATGGATCCGAAAAGGTGAGGAAAACCGGAGCGCCAAATCCGCCTCCTTTCCATACCCGGGGACGCGGGATGCACATTCCAAGGAAGCCAGAGCCCCCCAAATCCCAGGCCCCGCAGCCGCCTTTTCCCGGCCGCATCCGATGCCGGAGCCTGGGAGGGCTCCGGGTGCTTTTCCTTTTTATTCCAAGAAAATAAACGGAATCTTTTTAATTCCAGATTGACAGTGACGATCTCCTGGACAACACAGGGGATGCAGCCAGTGCCTTTTTTGAAGGTGCTGGGGTAGGTATTTTTTTGATTTATATTTGGGGAATACTAGCTTAAAAACCTCATTTTTGGTTCATTTTTGTGTTTTTTTTAATTATTATTTTTGTTTTGCAAGCTTTTTTTCCCATTTTTTTCCCTTTTTTTTGTTTTTCCAAGCTGGGATGCAGGGACGATTCCCGAGCGCTGTGGGGGCGAGAGGTGGTTTTTGTGCGGGTGCCAAAATCCCCTTTTCCGTCCCCAAATTGGGAAGAGCCACGAGGGGAGAAGGCGGAACCCGAGGAAAAGGCGCCGGAATCCCTTTGGATTGGGAAAACGGCTTGGGAAAACACGATCCCTTCCCTTAGCCGCCCCTCCACGAGGCGGAGCTGGAAAAAGCGGAAACATCCCCAAAATCCTCATTCCACCCCCAAAATCTCCCGTGCTCCCAGTTACTTCCTAATAAGAGGGGTTTTTTGCTCCGTTCACGTCGTGCTTTATTTTAACAGGGAATTTTAGCAGGGAATTCCTGGGGCTTTCGGGATGCTTGGGAAAGCCGGGAAGCGGAATTCCCGGCCCGGGGGTTTAGCTGTGCCCGGCTCTCCAGGGAACTGCACCTGGCTCTCCAGGGAAGCCTTGCAGAGCCGGATGGGAAGCGGAATTCCCAGCATTGGGATTTAGCTGCACCTGGCTCTCCAGGGAAGCCTTGCAGAGCCGGATGGGAAGCGGAATTCCCAGCATTGGGATTTAGCTGCGCCCGGCTCTCCAGGCAAGCCTTGCAGAGCCGGCCAGGAAGCGGAATTCCCAGCATTGGAATTTAGCTGCTCCCGGCTCTCCAGGCAAGCCTTGCAGAGCCGGCCAGGAAGCGGAATTCCCAGCATTGGAATTTAGCTGCTCCCGGCTCTCCAGGGAAGCCTTGCAGA